GGAGTAAAGTGTATAAGTGATTCACGTGTGTTAATTGTCACTAGTTTCTCGTGATCAAGACTCTAAACCTTAAATTTGTGAGAAATGACATGCTAAACATCAATGTTAAATAAATTTATTCCCCTACAAATGAAAGTCAAATCAATCATGCATATTAGGACCTATAAATGAAACTCATTTTTCATGTGTATTTTTATTTTCTCTTACTTAATTTGAGCATATATACATTTTCACACAATTTATATTTTTCTTGTTAAACTCATCATTTTTCTCTTTAATTTTTCACATCTTATGTGTAGACTCTTTTTCATTAAGCGACTAAGATGATCCATGTAACGAGTTTTTGGCTGATAACTCCAAATCAGTTGGCCATAGGGCATCCGTTTATGAGAAACCCTTCAAACTTAATTACTTGAGTCAAATAATCTTCGAATAAGAGTATAAGATTAAATCTTTTTATTTTATTTAAGGGAATATACTCGAACTTAAGTCTACTAAATTAATGTCAATCTATGTTCAAGGTCACCTTACCAACAGACGATGACAATCTCAAATCTTACACATGCTATCAACACTTACTCACAATATTATAATGTGTGTAGTATAGATGATATATGAAGAAACTTATACTAAATACTTCATATCAACCTAAACAGAGTAATGGAAAATATGCTACAGGACATCACTTAAACTCATACTTGGTCACAACACGCATGTTTAAGTAAATCATATATCATTTTGTAGTAAATAATTTCCCCTATATTCTTTTTTTTTTCAATTTTTTTTATTTTTAAAAAACCAACTTACCGAAAAGTAAAATCAAACAAAAAAATGAGGTGCATGCAATAATGAATGAATAGTAATTAATAAGTATAAGTATGCATCAAAAATATGTAATCAATTAGGTATACAAAATCTCTTTACCTTCAAGAGCACTGTAATCAATTTCTAATTTTTTCATATCACTATTTTTCACCCAACCTTGACTAGTGAAGAACTTATCACGATTCAACTGTCATAAACTTGGTCAAATGACTCACTTGATTAGTAAGGAAGTCAATTTGGCCATCAAAATCATGATTTCTAACTTTAGTGAAATTCTAATTTCTATTTCTATTCAGGAATTTATAACATCAAGGCCTTACGTGTCCTAACTCGCCACAATTGAAACAAGTAGGGATAAACCAAGGTCCAAAGTTATGTGGTCGCTGATATCTATTCCTAGGTTGGTAGTTCCTACGCTGTCTAGTAGGCTTCTGTCCTATGACACATTTGTTATTGAGTTTAGGATTAGGAACATACATAGGCTGGTTGGTGGTAGGGATAAAAATGGTTTTGGAAGTACTAATCATATTATGATCGGTCTGATTATATCATAGGCCTCCCTTGTTCCCAACGGGCTTGTTCAATTTCAAAAGAATGTCCATTCTTTGAGATTCACTAGAGAAAGCAATAAGTTGTGACTTGGAATATTCAAATTCGCTCATAAGGTTCTTAACCCGTAATTCTAATTTTCCATTGTCAACGGTCAGCTCACTAACTCTCTTAGAAGACTTTTCAAGTCCACTTGTAAGATCTTTAATCTTAAATTCTAGGGATCGATTTACAGTTTCTAATTTGTTGAGGCATGAAGTAGACTCCTGAAGGTCAGCTACAAGTTTCTCTCTAACTAACTTAAATTCATTAACCTTCTTAAACATAATTTTATTCACCCTCTTAATCTTGAGACTCTCTTCAAATAATTTTTAATAAGCCTCATGAATCTCATCTTCATTTTAGAATCTTCCTCAAATTGCTCACCACTATCTACTTCCTCAATCTTCTCATTGTCCTTATCAGATTCACTTTTAATCCTAGCAGTGAAGCCATAAACTTCCCACTCTCCTCACGTGTAGACATCTCGCTTTGAATATCCGAACTAGACTCGACATCAGTGAGAGTTGCATTCATAGCTTTACCTTGATTTCTCTTACCATTAGAGCACTCATTTCTATAGTGGCCAAAACCTTGACATTTATGATATCTCACAAATTTAGATTTATTTCTATACTCACTGGAATCACCTATATGTCTCTCTTTAGTCTTCTTCTTATTTCCAATATTTTTTTAAAAAAAATTCTTAACAAAATAGGCATTTCCTCATCATTAAATGATTTCGAATCAGAAGAATCATAGTCTTCTTTCCTAACAATGTTCAAGGCGATAGACTTGTTCTTTTTAAGTTGAGATATTGCGAGTTAATAAGTTTGGAAAGATCCAACCAATTCTTCAATCTAAACATCATCTAGATCCTGGCTCTCCTCGATAGTCGTAACTTTAGGCCTAAATCTTTCGGGTAATGTAGCGACCGAGGATTTTATATGATATAAAGTTATTTTCTTGAAAAATGTGTCACTAAGATTTGACCCCAAATTTTTAATAAAAGGAGTGTTCGTCTAGCCATTGTAAAACAAGTTTAAATCTATTCAATCGAGTCCAATCTCGAATATTTTAAAGTATCAAATTCCTTATCATTCTTAAATCCAAATTTCAATAGTTTTAAGTACAATATTTTATTATCTAGAGTTCAAAATTCTGTTAGTCCAAGTCTTGATTATTTTAGTCTTATCCACTTAAATCCAATTAGGAAAATTCTTGTAGCCCAAATTTTTAGCCCACTTAATTTCTAGGATCTTGTGCCCTAAAATTTACTATTCATATGACCCTCTTTCTCCCACCTCCTCACCTCACTCAGCCGACCAAAATTGGTAAGAGAACTTCCCTCTCCTTCAATTTGGAAATTAACGTTTAATGCTAGAACATCAATTTCTAGCATCAACAATACCCCAGTCGGAATTGGAAATTCATGTTTGATGCTAGAACATCAATTTCTAGCATGAACAAGCCGAAACCCAACCACCATCACTGATTGCAATAAGCTGCAATTGGGTTCACATCCACCATCACCAACTGCACACACATAAAAGCTGAAATCCATACCACAGTCCAACCAAATGAGCCACCACGTCCACTCCACCATCTCCAAACACCATCACCTGCAGCCCCTCGCGGACGATCACACTTCACACCAAATCAGCCACCACTTCACACCAAATCAACCACAAAACCAAGAAATAATCTGACCCATAAACTTACTCAGTTCCCGCACCCATTTCCAAATTGATCACCACCGGAAAAACCCAAGAATCCGAGCCATTCGAGCCTCGGTTAGCCTCCGATCCATGCACGAAAATCCCCCAAACGCCTCCACCCACGCACTGGCGCCACCACACGACGGTGGCGCTGACACCGACTGTTCGGCCGGTGGCGAAATCGGAGGAAGGACCCCTTCCCGTCGCTGCTCCCTCTTCTCTGAACGATATGAGAGAGTGTGTGAGTGAAAGATATTTGTTTATTTTGATTTTTTTGGAAATTATCCCTTAAGCCCCAATTTTTAAAAGTTGTTTATTTCGGTCCCAAAAGTTTCGGTTATTAATAAATCAGCCTCTAGAGTCCTTATTTCCCCAAAGTCAGTCCATTAATTTCAAAAAATATATTTTCAGTCATTAAATTTTCAAATTTCAGTTTTAATAAATCTCCATTTAAGTCCCTAAGTTTTATTTTATCATTTTAAATCTTTAAAATTTCGGGATACTAATTCAAGGCTTATTTCTTATTTTGGTTAGACGAAACGTACAGACGATTAAGGGATTGAGGTTACTACCCACTCCACTTTTTACGTGACTCGAGATAATTTGAGGTAGGCTTGCCTCATTAATTAGTTTAAATTATAATTGCATGTATTATATGACTTTATATGATTTATATGCTTTAATGCATAAGACGAGAATATTTCTTATGAGATAAATGATGTTGTTATGCTTGTCATGATTTATATGCTTTATTGCATGAGAATAGACGAGGCTGTCTCTTATGAGATAAGATGATGTTATGCATAACTTATGTGCTTAAATGCATGAGACGAGACTATCCATACCTTATGATTTTAAAAGAGCCTATGATTTTTAAAAAAAAGAGCTTGAGGATGATGATGTCACCGTAAATTTATGTGTTCAATTATTTTGTAAATTAATTATTGGCGATGAGTCTATTGAGTATTTCTTTGAAATACTCATTCCATTATTTTAACTAAAATTGCAGATTTTAGAGACGGTCGGGTTTGATGGGCAGTGGTAGCACGATTTAATGGATGAAATTATTCACTTTTGAAATTTACTCATTATGAACATTTTTAATTTATCTTACCATTTTAGTTATTTCAAACTTGAGATTTAAAGTTTAATCAATTATCCTAAGTAAATCAAATGAGTTTTTGTTTCCGATGATGTTCACAATTATGATGTGATCTTTAAAATTTATTTATTTCCACAAATCTTTTTATTTTAATTCAAGACAAATGAGGATGACGTGGCACTTTGGGTTCACGGAACTCAGGGCGTTACAGGTAATGATCTCAAGATTTTTTGGACAATCTTAGACTCAATAATTTTCTCACCTAGGTTAAAACTAGAATTAATTATGTTATTCAAGCTCGTATAAAGATAGTTGAATGTCATCTTCCTTCATCCTAATTTCTTCAAAGCTAGTGGTCAACATCTATAAATTATAATTCTTAACAGCCCGAGTTCCCTCGTATGTGGTCAGTAAAATATCCCAAACATCTTTAGCATCCTCACACATAGACACACGCCTAAATTCTTCAGGTGATACAACCATAAATATATAATGAAACCCTTTACTATTCCAATTATACCCATTTAAATCTTTCTTATTCCAAATTGAAATATCACATAGGCAACATGATAGCATAAATCCGGCACCCTTTCTTCTTGTCATACTCGAATCCAAAGACTACTAATTCATCTATGTAACCCTCCAAAAGACTCCTTGACTTTTACAACTTTTTTTTAACAATCATATTCTTTTACAAAAATCCTTTTGTCTAAAGAATTGTCAATACAACTAAAACCTAACAAAAGGAGTAATTTATTTTCTTAACCTCATATTACAAATAAAAGGAAAAAGGAAAACAGGGCTGGATGCCATATACACACCTGCGGATTATACACGTTAACAGATTTTTATTTGCACGTAATGTTTAACTATGATACAAATGATTTGTTATGCAACAATTAGTATTCACTAATGACAAGAAAGTATGTTTGATTATTTGGAAATGTATCTGCGAAGATAATCGACTCGAGCAGGATGCTTGAGCTTCATGAGAGCCTTCATTTCATGCTTTCTTACCATTTCTCTTGAAATATTTAAATTGCCAGCAATTTCTCCAAGAGTTCTGTCTCCTTTGCCATCAAGTCCATATCTTTGTCTGATAACCAAACTCTCCTTAGGTTTCAGAGAATCAAGCTGTAAGGATGTGAAAAAACAGATTTTTAAAATGTACAAATAATTAGCTCAATATATTTCAATTACTAAAGAAAGAAAAGACAAAATCCATCTTAATAATTAATTGAGTATTTCATGCGCCAGTATGAATCATGTAGTGTATGATGGACACCACTTATGTTATGCTCGGTTCTGCATCGTCGATATGACATCTGACAAATTTTGTTAAATGTCTATCTTAATTTTGTCTAGTCCTACATACTAAAAAGTCCATTAAAGTGATAACATGAATAGTTTTTTATTCGAGATGTCCTCATCAATTCAAGACAACCATCATACATTTTCATTGTTCAAATCTGGCACTTTTAATCTAACTAATTCAGTACATAATAATTCACTGGCCTACTTTCTTTCCAACACAAGCGAACATGCATCATAATTAAGTGGTTTTGATGTCAAAACAAAACAGTGCAGTACCTTTGAACCACCTCGTTGGATTATAGATAAGGTCGTTAAACACAGTATGACTGAGGTCAATATGAAAATTCCATGTGATAGGTCTTTGATGAAAAATGAATCCAACTTGCACGTGAGGATGCTTTATAAAAATAAATCAATATATTCCTCCCCTTTTTAAAACTTATGCTTTTTGATGAGGTGGCTCAACAAGTACTACATGCAGTGCAAATAAAAACATGGTTAGAAAGCCAACCCATATCCATCTCATCAGGACGATGGCAATGACACAAACTGATGTATTCAGGTAAGTCTTAACCCTCCTTTGTATTTATTTTCACATTGGTTGACAATGTGTATTTTAAGTTTGGTGGGGTGAATCATCAGTTCTTAATTGCTTTTGTCAGTTGTTTAGTATTTTTGTGTTTGTGTGCTTGTGTGATATGGAATTATTTCGTGTGGAAAAAATGGAACTTACCACATCATCCAGAGCAAGCCTGAGAAGAGCAGGTTGCGTTCTTTTGTCTCCTTCAGCACCATCAATATCAGTAATTCCATTGATGAATTCTTCGTGGGTTACTGCATGCCGTGCATGAAGAGAATATACTGATTTTGATGCTCTCAGTACTTCGTGATATCTTTCGGGGGAGATACCAACTCTTTCTATAATTTCTTCTTCTGTTGGCAATCTCTGCAGCTCAAACATTAACTCTAACTTGGCCCTTTTGATTTCAACTCTGACCTACATAAGAAAATACTTCAGCTTTTATACTGCTCTGGTGTCAAGAAGCACTTACCGAATGCACCAATAAATCCTATTTCATCCATTAATGGATGTGTCCTGCAAGCTAAATCCTACTTATTGAATTCTTGCATGAATTTGAAAATCTCATGCATATGAATCAGTTTTAAAGTCCAAATTAATACATCAAGACTGTACTTAAATGGAAAAAAGCAGTCAATTAATGTCTTTTTACAACAAAAGCAGCAAGTTTCTTGCTTGTAGGAAGAAAAATACGAATGACCTATGTCAAAAAAGACAAGAAAATGTTTAGAGAATCAGGATAAGCTTACCGACTCAAGGCCGAAGGAGACTTTGGTAAAGCTTGAAAGTGTCATAGAACGTATAATGGCATGCCTGATCCAAAAGAGGCCATATGTTGATAGACGGAATTTCCTTCTTGGCTCAAAACGATCAATAGCTGTAATTAGACCCTTCACTCCGGCTTGACAGATGTCTTGGAATTTTGGGCCAATTGCAAAATCTTGAAAGTATTTGTTTATCACAAACAAAACAAGCCGGAGGTTGTGCTGTAGCCAATCAGAAACATAATTGGCTTTGGTTAGCTTTGTTTCTGAAATTTAAGCCTCATGCAGTAGAATAGTTTACACAAGCTGGATTTGATTGGGTTACTAGCAATTGGTTTCTGGGTTCAGATTTTGCCTTCAATTACCCCCCTCAAATATGGTTTCTGCTTTCATATTGTGTCACTAAGACAATGTCAATTCCCTCTAACTTTTCTAAATAGGAGGCTCAAGGACATTCCTGAGTCCCGGCAACCTTCAAGAATGTCTTATATATGTGGCGTTGTCATGAAAAATGAATTTTGAAGACTAAACAGAAAAAGAAGTTTGTTCACATATTCTAGCCTGGGATATGATAGATTGCCAATAGTTCACTGAAAATTTCACAAAAATGGTGCTGATGATGAAAAACATTATTACCTTGATCAACTTGTTTCTGGCAGCTCTACCAACTTCCATTTGTTTCCTGAGTTGAATAACATCCATATTTGTTGCCTCTGCTAATTCATCATCAGTTGGTTTTCTTCCCAAATCATTTTCTAAATTATCCTTGACTTGAAGGATTCCCTAAACGAAAGCTTAAGTTTAGAAGAAAAACAAGTATCGAGACGTCAAACAAAGAAAACACAATATTTCTGAGGTTTGCTTTCTTTTTATTTCTATTTATTTTCAAATACTTCATTTGGCTTGTTTGGCATCATCGACTAGATGAAAAGGAATATACAATGTCAAGTACTGCGTGTGAAACATGCCTTTTGTGCATTTGGTCGAGAGGGGGGCNGGGGGGGGGGGGGGGGGGGGGGGGGGGGGGGGGGGGGGGGGGGGGGGGGGGGGAGGGGAAGGGGTGAACTCACCGTCATAGATTGCATCAGTTTAAACAGCCAGGTATGTTCAGAAGAAGGAAGAACAGATGGGATCTTCATTTTCTTCCAATCTACGCTGACTAAATCAGTGGAAACAGAATACTCTCTAACAAGCCTACCTATCTTTTCATCTTCATAATTCATGCTGCGTTTTCTTTCCCGGGATGATGCAATTCCTTCACCTTCTTTCTTCATTCCCAGAGCAATCCTCTTCTCAAGACTCATGTGGCAGCAGCTACATTGTAATCCAGTTCTAAACCACTTGGAGAGGCTTCATCGGTTGACACAGCGTGCACTCGTCTTACAGCCCTTATCCTCTTTTCATTTTCTTTAGCTGTTTCTACAGCTGAAGATTTAGATTCTCGAGGTGCAACAAAACCAGGTTTCTTTGTTTTATTATCTTTTTTAAGAAATAAGATTACAGGCCTTCTAACCGCAGATACACGAGTTGAAAATCTTGTGCTCAATCCCAGAGGACTTCTCGCAGCAGAACTAGGAACAGTCACAAC